AACGAACAATTTTCCCATTATATTAACTAGTGCCAAACGTCATTACCAATGATGATTCAATAATCCATATCTTCAAGCATTTATGCCTTTTTATTTTAAATAAATTTAAAAAAAAATAATAAATAAATAAATAAATAGCAGTGAAATGGGCTCATAAACATATGAAAGTCTTTTTGAAATAATAAAAACAGGTTGTCCGATGTTTGAAAATAATGGAAAACTAAACCTCTATCCAAATAAGATTCTGTACATGAATATTTAAGAGGACTTTGTTAAACACAATCGAGTAAAACTTCTCAACCAAAAAATTTTCATTGAACTTGCGATTGTAGTTTTTTTTTTTTTAATTTCTTCATTTAATACGTACTTATGATAAATATGAATCCAAGTTTGCAGCTATCCACCTTCAAAGATTCTGAAATTCATCTTTTCTGGGTCCAGAACTAAGGTCTTAGGATGTTCATTTTGGATATTGTTTGTATATGTACACATAACAAAAATACTGAAGGTGAAAGTGGGACTCAATATCCCCCCCCCCCCCTCTTTAACGGAATATGGGTTGTACAATCCTGGAGTGTTTGTTTGGTTCAGTAATACTCCCACACATATCATACTTTTTACCTCCATGTGTAATGTTTATTTAAAACATAATTCACCCGCCTACTGATCATCATTTATTGTACTTTCAGGCACGTATTATTGTATTTGAAAGTAGGGGGGGGGGGAGAAAAAAAAGACAGATTATTGAGGGTGGAGGGTAGGTTCTAGCTGCAATAATGTAGCCCTCTCCGATATTTTGGGGGGGGGGGGGGGAGGGCTACAACTCCTTAGGATCTCCGTAATGGTGCAAGTGCGGGAGTGATTCACTACCGCACAAATTTCGGCTCAAATTATCAGTAAGTGGGTATTTTATTAACATATCTTACCTGAACTCATAAAATGTAGTTATGCAAGACATGAATTGATCCCAAAATATACAGAACAATCCGTATATCGGTTATTTTTCGTGTATGTCAACATCACACCTTGAATTTATCCGCCATGTTTACTGACCTTGATCGATTTTATTTTGGGACAACCAATGAGAAATCGGGATCTAGGGGAGCGGATCGTGTAGGATTTCCCTTATTTTAAGCATAAATATCACTGTTTATGAAAACAATATCACATGGGATGCTTTTATTTATCGATGTAATGTTTAGTGATATCATACAACACAAACATTTATCAACGCCGACATTTACTTTATCAAGTACTTCTAAAATTCAAGCGCAAGTCTCTGTACATCACGCGAGAACTGTCATGGCTGCTGAAGAGAACGACTGGTAAACAAGCAGATTTGTTTTACTTTGTTTTCGCTTATAAAGGGCTATGATGTTGATAGTAAATAAAAATTCCGTCTTATTGGAAGTAAGTTGAATGCAAAAACAATTTATTTTGCCTGCAGTCGCCCGTATCTAAAAAATATATTTGCACCATTACGGAGATGCAGTGGAATTGTAGCCCTCTCCTGAAAATATCAGATTAAAAAAATCGGAGAGGGTTACATTATTGCAGCTAGGTAGGTTCCAAATTCTTTCACAGACAAATTTTATACATACACTACCCCGTTTTGACTACACTGAAAAAAAGTTGGGGGAACCACCCTTTCAATGAACATTCTCAACAGTAAAAGGTTATGTTTGAAAAAAGTGGGGGAAGGAAACCCCCTGACCCCCCCCCCCCCCGATACCACGTGTCTGTTTCACACAGCAAAATTATACAATATTGTACAAGATATAGTAAAGCATCCAAATATATACTGGAAAAATTAATGCACATGCAAAAAAGGAAAGAAAAGAGAGAGAGAGAGAGGATGTGTATACTAAACTTTCAATATATTGTTTAATTATAGAGTGATATAATTAAACGATCTCCATTTAAGGATGGTAGGTATTTATACACAGTATTGGGATTCTTAATTTCCTGTATATATAGTAAAAATATCAAACATAACACAGTCAAAGGAAGATTATATTCGATACGCGTTGGTATTCTCAATTATCACTTCTTATAACGTTCAAAAAAGCATTATGGAAGGAAATCCGAATTTAACTGCATTATCATTAATAACGCCTACGTATATGGTTAAATTCAATTGGAGAAGGGAATTGACAAATTGTGTGTTTTTTCCAGACAATGTGCCAGATCTGTATGTACACGCAAAAAGGGACATGTTTATTTGCAATCAGAATAGCCCATCAAAGGTGCTCTTTCAAAATTACTGCAATGCCATTGTTATACTAGTTTTCATATATTGAAAGTAATATTAACTTTTTTTTAACTTAATTTGTCGCATCCAGTACGGATAAGCGCCATGTATAATATTCATATCCGCACTTTCTAAAGAAAGTTCGGGTAAATTGTTGTACTTGTTATCCTGGTCCGTCCGTCTGTCTGTCACTTTCTTCTTCCTCAGACTACTCTTACATTTAAAGCAGTAGCCAACTCATGATCACCTTTTGAATACGATTTGGTGCCTTGAACATGTATTTTGGAATTTGATTGCGATTGTCCTGTAGATGTGCAATAAGGTATTAAAATTTCAATTTTCACCCTTAGGCGATTTGTTGTCATAAAGCGTCATTATTTTTTTTCTAGAAAAACCTGGTCCCCTGAACTCCTCTTACACTTTTTGCAGTAACCAACTCGTCTTTTGGAATATGATTGATGGAGTCCTGTAGATGTGCAATAAGGTTTTGGAATTTCGGTTTTCATCCTGGAGGCGATTTGGGGTCAAAAACGTCGTTTTTTTTTATTTTTTTATTTTTTTTTTTTATTTTTTTTTACATAAAACCTGGTTCCCCGAACTCCCATTACATTTTTTGTAGTAGCCTATTCATAATTTCTAATATGACTTTGAGTGTCTTGTACATGTAGATGCGCGTTAAGGTTTTTGAAATTTCAATTTTCAATTGGGGGTCGAAATTATGTTTTTTTTTCTGCAAATACCTGGTTACCTGAACTAAAGTTTTAGAATTTCGATTTTCACTCCAGTGGGAGTTTACAAAAACCTGGTTCCCTGAACTCCTCTAATATTTTTCACAGTAGCCCAATAATATTTTGGAAAAAGTCTGGATGTATGTCATATAGATGTTCATTTTGGTTTCCAAATTTCGACTTTTACCTTGGGGGCAATTGACGTTCGAAAACCTATTTTTGTAAAGTGATTATATACGTATTGTGGCTTCTTCCTTTATAACCTAAATATGAAGGTGACTTCATTTAGAGGCAAACACCTTAGTGCAGGTATAACTATATATCTTATGGCAGCATCAAGTTTGATAATGTCATAGGTTTTATCTGAAGTTATGACAATTCTAGGATGATTCCTGCTTCTTGAGCAGCTACTGGATATCACTAAACTTATTAATACCTGAAATATAACGTATACCGGCCCATGGCCTAGCAATTTTACTATGAAAAGCCAGGGAACCTAAAGTTATTTTCTATACGTTTCTTGGAACGGTCATGAATCAACACCCAGTCATTGCCATGATTTCTAAGAATCTCCCAGGTATCTTTTTCTCTCCAAAATTTTAACTTTACCTAAAACAGTCTGATTACGATAGCAAAGTAAATCAGACTCTCGAAGAACGCCCAAAGAATCTCTCAATGATCTCTCAGAGGTCTTTGAAAGAACGCAAAATATATTAATCGCCTCTTTTGGTCTTGCAAGACTCTCACTTGGTCGAACTTGATCTATTAGCAATCTCCGTAGAACTTTCAATGGTCGCAAAGTAGTTTTTCAGCAAACGGCCAGAGGTCACTACAGAAAACAATGTAGCCATCAGTCTCTGTTGGAACTTTCAGTGTGATTGCCTGAATCTCTCAATGTTCTCGACAGATTGCCATGAAATGTGGCAACATCCTTTTTTCACTGCACAACAAGTGCTTTATGAACTACACAGAGACAAACTTTTCGAGACTTTCAGAGATAGCTAAGAGATTGGACAAGTTTGACATCGCCCAAAGGTCTCTCAACGATCTGCATACATGTATGTGTAAAAAGGCCCATTTACAATGATTGTCAATCTTCACTGATCGGTAGGCAATCTGAAACTGGCCAAGATTGTTGTTTTTGCCTGACAAGGATTCAATCTTTACTGTCTTATTCCCAATCCTCACTTGGAGTTGATTTTGAAACTTGGAACGACCATAATTAATATGACGTGACTGGGATCTCATCTTGGAATGAACATAATTAAAATAATGAAATACATGACTGAATAAAGAATATGACTTGGTGTCACATATGTATGGCTCTCTTCATACGATCTCATCTTGTCTACCATGTCATGTGACTATTGAGAGATCAGGCCAGTTTTGCAACGTTTGACAATCTTTCAATGGTCAGTACCTCTGCTTAAAGGGGGTTCAGTCTAGCTAGATTGACAACCCTGGCCAGGTCTGTTAAGATTGACAATTGTTTCTAAGTCAAGATTGTATGGAAAGCCATTAGGACCCCCTCCCCCAGATCATGTTCTATATTTTTCATTTTTCAAAATTAAAATCATCCCAGGATACAATAAAACAGATGGAAGACCCCTAAACATCTGGAATACGTATGTTGACGTTGACGTCCTTATTCATATCAGGAAAACTTCAATGCATTTGAAAGTGAACCATGTGTAAAATAGAATGAATTGGGATTCAGAGAGAAAGAAATACGATCAGATTGGCTGATTGTAGAAATTTAAGGGAAATTTTCATTGGTTATAGAGGATAGAATTGTACAAATACGTTAATTGATCTCGTATATTAAGTAAAGACGCAGCTTCTTTCCATTCATCAATTCATTAACATCTGTCAGGCATCAACCCACAAAGAAGATAATTATTGTGTAAGTTGAATGAACAATTCTTGAGACATGCGTACTACATGTTTTTGTATTATATAAAGGTAACGGTAGATTCAGTCTTTTAACATCTGCGTTTTCTTTCACTTTTCAGGCTTTTAATATGGAACTACCGGAGGGAGGCAAAGTTTACTATACGGACATGTTGGACTTTTTGCACAAACTACTAGATAACAATACAATAGATGAAAATGACATCCTAAACTACTTCGGAAAAAACGAATTCAACGGCATTACTCCACCCCGTGTACAGCGAAGAGATCAAATAATTCTAATCGGGGCACCGTTTGTTTTTTTCATTGGAGTGATTGGGCATCTGATGTCCTTACTTATTTTGCCATATTTCGCCAAAAAAGAGTCGACATATGTATATCTATTATCTCTTTCAATATTTGACCTTCTTGTATTACATGTAGGTCTGCTTGTTCGGTGGTTAAACGAGATTCTGGGAACGAATATCCTTTCTCGCAGTAACTTCACATGTAAAACGTTGACTTTTCTAAGTCTTGTTTTTAGTGATACATCAGTTTGGCTTCTAGTGGTCGTAACGTTCGAAAGATTTGTCATGCTTTATCATCCATTTCAAGCGACTGTTATATGCAAAGTTCGTCGTTCGCTCATTATTATTTTGCTGGTGTTGGGCATACTAGCAATGGTTAACAGCCATGTATTCTGGACACTCGAAATCGTCATCAACAATGTGACCAAACAACAAAGTTGTGATCCCGCCGCAAAAAGCAACACAATGATTTATCAAATTTGGCCGCTGATCGATTCTTTTATTTATTTTATCTTGCCCTTCCTAAGTACATGTATCTTAAACGGCAGAATCATCAAGAAAATCCGTGGCATAAAGAAAAGAAATCCTTTGGTCAACGCAAGACGATTTTTGAAAACGTCTGTCGATCAGAAATCACCCAGGGTCGAAAGGAAGTTGACAACAACCATGGTCATTTTGTCTCTGACCTTTGTAGTGTCCACCCTTCCTATGCTGGTCTACTTGTGTGTGACTGCGGTGTTAAACTCTCTTCATAACCAGCCTATATTCAGTCGCGAAAGATATCAGTATTTCCGGTCTTTTGCAGAGCTTATGATGTATTGCAACCATGCCATAAACTTTTATCTCTACATCGCAAATTCTAAAAGACTTCGGTTATGGTTTCAAAAACGAATTTGTAAGCAAAAGGCTGAACAACTAGTCATCGGAAACGAAGTGTTCGAAATGCAAGAATATTCTTCAAGATATTCATAAACATTTAGTTTAGTTAAATTACTTCTGTTATTCGTTACATTTATCACAAATAATATAAAAAATTAGAAATAAATTTTAGAAACATCTTAATCAAACAGATGTTTAGTAATTTATGTTCATATCACTTTTATTATGAGTAAGGTACTAGTATAATAGCTTATCATTGTCAATAATTTAACTTCGTCGTTCCCAATCTTTTTAAAAACAAAATCACAAGAAAATTGATTTTCCATCAATTTTGTCTACTTTAAAAATGGCATTGCTCTGAGAAATTATCATATTGATCTGTTCCCTGTGAAGTCAGGTTTTTTTTTATTAAATTAAATAGCTGGGAGTATGAACTCTTTTTAAAATTAATTCATGAACACAAAATCATGGGTAGGACTTTATCCTTTCCATAACTTGTGTCTTACATTACCACATAACCCCATAAATCAAAATCGTGTTTATTTAACAGATAAGTTTCTGGCGGGCGCCAAATAATTATCTGGCGGCCGCCATAAACTTATCTGGCGGCCGTCAAGTAATTACTCGGCGGCCGCCAGATAAATAGATCTGGAGGAAGCCAGAAATTATATGGCGGCCGCCAAATACTATATAGTAATTTTCTGACAGCCGCCAGATAAGTTATCTGGCGACCGTTAGATTTTTTTTATCTGGCGGCTGCCAGTTATTTACGTGCAACGTGGCGGCCGCCAGATAAAATATTTTTCTACCTGGCACCTACCGGCTTTCGTACCTTTGTCATCAAAAAGGATGTTACGTCATTAATAAAAAGAGCAAATAATAATGGTGATAGGTTTTCCCTACGTCGTAACCGCATTGCTCATGGGAAGCATTCAGTAAAAGTAATTATTAGCAGCAATTTTTAATCTTTAAAGTATATTTTCATTATTTCATCAATTTTTTTCCATGAAAACATTTCAGTGACGTCATGCTTGGTTTTATCTTCTCCAATAAATCCTTTCTTGGTCTGCTTGCATCCAATAAGTTACATGTAGGTGTCTAATAAGATACAACTTATTAGAAAACATTGGAATGAAAACAAAAGGCCACTGGTAAATAAATAAATGTTTTGATGGAGTTGAGAGATGGAATTAGTCGATCAAGACAACGGCACATTTTAACACGAGAAATGACGCGAATTAGCAATTTATCATTTAACAAAAATCTTTACGGGTTCAGGTGTAAAACCTGTAATTTGGGGTTGTGATTTGTGGCCAGTTTTTTTTTTTTTTTTTTTTTTTTTTTTTGATTATTTGTTCATCAATAGACTCCCACGTTGTATAAGCGAGTGCATGGCTGCCGTTGCTCTGGGGTGTTTCGTGTACTGTTTGCAAACCCAGAAATATATCCCGATTTCCCATTAGAATGTCAAACATAAATTGAACTTTGCTTTTTCATTAATGATATAAAGAATTAACATCTAAATCTGAAGAGTTCGTCATTTTAAACGTATTAATATTTTATATTTCAAATTGTACATTGATTTGAAAATAACTTATTTTTATGCATGCGTAATATTGTTGTAACTAAAATGTCGTAATGCAGATTGATAAGACCAGACAAAATTATTTTCATTTTTGTTTATATATGAAACAGTGACTTAATTATTCCTTTTATTAAACATTGCATAACTCACCTTAACGAATGGTATCTTTAATATTCTGGTAGTGTGCATCTCTAAATGCAATATTTATGCAAGTTTGGTCTGGGTAGGATTTTTATTTCTTTGGGAATAGACTTGCTCCAATAAAGGTAATCGCCCAGAAAATATTCAGCATCCAAACCAGTCTGGTAGATGCATCATCCATGCAAGTTTAATCAGCACAGGGCTATGTGGGAATGAACCTCTTCAAAAACTTTAATCAGGTCACTCATGAAGAAAATGTAGATCAGACCCAGAATCCGACTTTAACCTGGTAACTCATCCAGAAAATGTAGGTCAAACCTAGCATGGGAAGCTAATTTGGTTGTGTACAGCCCTAGATACATCATATAGGCAAGTTTGATCCAGGTAGGCTGGAATTAGCCTTGGCCACTCATCCGGAAAATGTAGGCCAGGTCAGATCCAGCATCCGAAGCAAGTCTGGTAGTGAGCATCTCTGCATGGATGTATTATTCATACAAGATTCAGATCCGTAGAACGCGAGGTGGGGGGGGGGGGAAGGGGGGCTGGTCCCCCAATTTTTTCTGAGTATAGTATTTTGCTATAGTAAATTTTCCTTTAAATGCTGGTTGTCCCCCTCCCCCACACACTTTTTGTTGTTGTAAGGTCGAGCACTAGCTGGTCACCATAGGGGTTACGGTATATTACTTGGGAATGAGATGTCCTCCAAAAGTTAAAATCCTGCTCGATCAAAAAACATTTTTGCTGAAAATGCAGCTTCTCAAACCTGACTGGTACAATAAAACACACCAAAAACATTATCCATGCATCCCTGATCAATACAGAGTATACGTATAGATAGAAGTACTTGGAAAGAAATCTGCTCCAAAACTTTATCTTTTTCAACCAAGGGATAACTCAATATTAAAGAATACAAATAAAATTATACGTTTAAATTTTTAAAAAGTGGAATTGTTTAAATAAACCAAATCGCCTTGATTTTCGTTCAAAAAATGATTGGTACACGCATACGCTTTATTTAGTACAAATGTGTTAGAAATTATATACCTGTGGCATTCCGAATCTGTAGAGTCCTTGAAGGATGTAGGGAAGGGGGTTCCCTGCATGGGGGAATACCTCATGTCTCATTTCTATCTAATTTTAGATTAATATTTTAATTTCATCTATATTGACTTTAACAAAGTGAAAACAATACAGTGCAGGCATGTTTTAAAATAGCAAATAATTCATCGATTGGGAAAGGGTTGGGTCTGGGTTCCTTGTATTGAATGGCATCCTGGCCCCAAGACCGTAAACTGAGAACAGACTTAAGTCAAAATTTCAAACCAATATTTCTTTTGAAATAATTTTGATATTGAAATAAAATTTCCATCATATATTTGAATTTGAATGTTATATAAAATTGTAAATTTTTAAGCAAATACATTAAAGAAAACTCAAGATATTAAAAAAACAAAATTTTGACTTAAGTCTATTCTCAGTTTATGGTCTTGGGGCCTGTTATTACATGTATGTACATGTAATCAGTTTCATTCATGAAGTGCGTGAATTATAATTGTAGACAAAAGTCTTATATGCAATAAGGAACGAACTCGGAATTCGGTTAAATGTTGATTTTAATTTATGTCACAACCTCCCTGCAACAAAATAATAAATATTATTATTTCTCTGACAGTTGTAGCGTCCAGGTAGTTTAGTTCCATGTCACGGTTATTTACAGATTTACAACTTCTCGCTGTAGTATAAAAAGGGAGGTAAGTCTATATGGAACAACCACTTCTATATCATGTTAGGTCAGTTTATGGAACGGATCAAATACACCTCTGTCACCCCAAATAATCAGTACTGAGATAGTGTGATCAATGTCATCCGTGTTTCTTTGTCGACAAAAACTTCAGAAAGCGGTAATACAGCACACTGTGTGGAGAAGATATTCTGAAATCAAAATAATGTCGGAAAAAGCTCTGGGTCGAGGTGAGGTTTGTGTACTATCTAAGAACATTAACTCGTACTATGAAAACCTATGTTTCTAAATCTTTCAATATGTGCTGAGGAAAATGCTTGAAATATAATACATCTTATATATTTGAGAAAAAAAGTCTCAACTTGTCAGAAAGAAATGTTTGTTTCTAACATTGGATTAATTTATTTATTTGTTGCAGGGACCCAGTGCCCCCCTCTAGCCCCAGGTACCCTTCGCCTGTACAGCATGAGATTCTGTCCATACGCCCAGCGGACACGTCTGGTCCTTTTGCATAAGAATATAACGTACGTTTTTTAGTTGTGATTTATTACATATGTAGATGCAGGGCCTGTATTAACCGGGGCGGATCCAGGAACCAAAGTAAAGGGGATGGGGGCTAGTTGATTAGACAAGAGGTCTGGGGCTGTTTTGAAGCCCCTTATGGGTTCAGGGCGAAACCCTGGTTTAGGACAAGGGTCCTCGAAGCCCCCGGGAGCTCCTGGATTCGAGAGATTTTGTAGGGTAAAAATGAAGTAGACAATTTAATACATGCATGTAAACTACAAATATTTTAAGGTCAATGGAATCAGTTTATGAGTCAACCCCCCAGAAGCTCTGAGTTTATGAGTCAACCCCAGAAGCTCTGAGTTTATGAGTCAACCCCCCAGAAGCTCCGAGTGTCTTGCGTGTGCAAATACATGTATGATATTCGCCACGGAGAGCATAATGGCAACAAACCCAAAGTACAATTTGAATCTGCACTTGCTAAAGAGAAAAGTCAATAAATGAATAAGTTATTGTTCAAATATTTGAAGTAAGTGGTATTATATTGTACAGGGATTTATCAGTACCTCCTCAGGGGCCGAAATTCGGCCCCATTCCCAATTGAAAATGAGTTCAGTTTTTCCCAATTTTGCAGTATTTTTTCCCAATTGGTGAACAATGCTTTTATATTTATTTATCTTGGAAAAACACAATGTAAAATTGTCAGCTTCAGTCATAACACATGTTTAAAAACGCTGTAAAAACATCGCCAATGTTTAATCCGAATTTCCTCCGTTTTTCTGAAAATGGTGATATTGTGTAATAACATAGATTTATTAAGTTATTTCTACCTACTTAATTGATCTACGAGTGAATGGTAAGGACTGTAGGCATTATTTCAAATAGAAAAATATATTTTCAATGCATTAATACATAATTATTAAAAGAGGACTTTGAGAAAATGTGTACTTAGTATAATTTTTTGCAGGAGGTTTATAATCTCCAGAAACAGATTCTGTAATGACCTAAATTGGAATCTCAAACACACATGTACTACTCTAAGTTGTATAAACACTTTATACTCATTGAAGTCAATTTTACTTTTATTAGTCTATTATTCATAATTGCATGATCTTGTATGAATTAGTTGGATCATATTTAATTGTCTGTTTGGTTGCCCAAATTAGAGTTCATGCTGAAGTGTTAAATGAATTACACCTAAATACATGATTTAAGCAATATTTTTAATTTTTCCCAATTTCATCAAATAGCCGATAATTTTTTCCCAACTCCCCAAAAATGGCATTTCCCAAAATAGGCTGATAAATCCCTGTTGTAAGTTTTCACATGTTTTCTAAAGCTGTTAATAAAAATTTGCTTTATATAACCAATACCTTTTTAAGGGGGGGGGGGGTGTCTACATACAGTCTTTTGAAATTATTGAAAAGAAAAAAAAAGGAAAGAAGGAAGTGGGGTGTATTTTATCTACTTTAGCTCATAAGTTATATTCGGGATTATGTACAAAGTATTTTTTCCTGCTATAAGCCAGTCATTAATTGTCAGTAGAAATTATAAGATAATTTTTTGTGAATGAAAAATTCAATTCCATGCGCTTGCGCCGGATTTCATCTAGTATATTATATATATAGAAATAAAACCTTTTAGAAACTATAACCACGAGTTATCTTGAATTTGACAATTTTATTAGAAAGGGGGGGGGGGTAATTACCCCCTCTTATCAACCACTGAGATGTGTAATATCGCATCGCTGTAAGCCAAACGCATTTTTATTCTTTCACCCAGAACTAGAGGGAGGAAATACTTAGTGGTAACTTTTGTCCTACATGATTTGTTGTACTTGTTATTTTATTTAAATAGATAATTTGGAATTGTTTATATTTACAGTTTACTATTCAATTGTATTTCATTATCACAGGTTTGAGACAGTAAATATCAATTTAAAACAGAAACCTGACTGGTTTTTGGCGCGAAATCCAGTCGGTCTTGTTCCTGTATTAGAATTTGATGGCAAGGTGCTGTACGAGTCTAATGTGTGTAACGAGTACATTGATAACGTTTACCCGAACCCCAAACTGATCCCAACAGACTTTTATCTCGCAAGCAGGGACAAGCTGCTATGGGAAACGTTTGGAAAGGTAAAAAAATTATAATATAAATAAATAAAAGTGAGGTGAAATGGCATATTGCTATGATGGTCTATTTATGATAGATTGCAATTAATGTTGACAAATGTAATTGATATCATTTGAATAGGTGACGGAATTATTTTACGAGATACCAAAATCTGTGGCCGATGGAACGTTAGACAGATGTCTACGTCGATTTAAGAGACAATTAAAACGTTATGAAGACGAGCTTACAAAGAGAGGAGAATTCTTCGGAGGTAAGTAACGACCATTAACAATACATTCCAATAAAGGAATCTACATAATATGTGTCATTTTTCAGTTATAAGATAAATGAAATAATCGAACATTTGTATAGTTGATTCAAAGGTAGATTATAAGTAAGGCTTAGTTGTCGAAATAGTGATACAAGGTACACTAATTAAATAAAATTAAGTGAAACTTTTATTCGCGTGCGAGAAATTTCCGCGATTTTGCATGTAGCTTTACTCTGTGTGAATATTTCTCGCCGCGAAATTTTCATTTCATTGTGTATTTATGTAGAATATTTCCCCATTCGCGAAAATAAGTCGTCGTGGATAGATTTCCAACTGACAGATCGCGAATAAAAGTTTTCACATATAATTAATTTCAGAATTTTTTAAGCAAAGAGAACTGCATACATATTTATGTGTTTCATTGACATTCTAGAGACATATTCAGAGAGAGAGAGAGAGAGAGAGAGAGAGAGAGTAATGTTCATGTACACAAAAGTTATTTTATTTCATTTCTCAGTTATGTATAAGAATTGGTTCAAAATGCATTACTGTTTAGTCTTTTTTTGTACTATAATGTAATGTACATTGTATTACTCAGCATTTTAAGAAAGATGGACTGAGGAGCGCCCTCCTAAGTCTGCAATATATATATATATATATATATATATATATATATATATATATATATATATATATATATATATATATATATATATATATATATGCCATGATTTGAAAAAAAAATACTTATTCAATAGGATCATCACCATGTATGGTGGATTTTATGATTTGGCCTTGGTTTGAAAGAGTACCAATTTTAGCAGTAATAGCACCGGAGGCGGAAGTGAATTCTAATGAGTTTCCACATTTGCATTCCTGGATGAAACTAATGATGAAACTTCCGGCTGTGAAAGAGACATATGAGGAACCTTCGGCTCACATTCATTTCTTTTCGACACTGAGAGCAGGAAATCCAGACTATGATTACGGGTTGAGTTAACAAAATGCCATTTATTTGTGTAATAGTATAAAGTATTTATTTGAATGAACAATGCAGCTAACGTTATTATTTCTATTTTTCATCAAGTGATACATTCAGGAATATATAAAAAGATGAGATATGTTTTGTTATAATGTGCATTGTAAAAATTGAACACATTTATTAAACATGTATACTAACATTTACTAATCATAAAAAAATGTAAAGTAAACGGCATTTCATTTTGTATGGAAGAATAATTATTAAATGGTCCAGTGAATGATATAAATTTGAACATTTAAAAATATATTGTTAAAAAAAGAAGAAGAAAGAAAAAAAGAAAAGAAAAAATAAAGAGCAAAAACAAGGTTGTTCAAATAGTATACATGTATATCCCCGTAAGCTAGATACATTAAAACATTGCCGAAGATCTTTGTAAAATCACGTTGCATTGTTTTTGCCTCTTTTAATACCTTGATATATTCTAGAGCCGATTACTTTGACGAATACTTGGTATCCGTGTGACAAACATGCAGACAATTTTCCCCCTATTTGAAAACCCAGATAACTTGTGTTCACAAAATTCGCCGAATGACCAACTTTGCAACTCATGCTTAATAAAGATAGGTTTTTTTTCTTCCAAAATTAATATCTTTGCATATGTACATGTAGGTACCCCTTTCACCGATGAAGTAATATCTGTTTAGTAAAACAACCTTATGTTTGACCAGTTGACTAAGCCACATAATTTCAATAATTTGGTGAAAAGTGGGAAAATGTAAGTCTACAGTTCAGTATTTTTTTTTTTAAAAGATACAGAAATGTATTAAGTTTTATATTCTATAAGGTTTCTGGGAACATTTTCGAGAGTCTATTCAATTTACATTTTACACTAGAGATTTCTTAATTAGATTTCAATCGAACGGAATATTGAAAAAATAGCAATGTAACTCTTGTGTGTGCATGGGAGATAAAAAAAAAAACTGTTTGTGGTATGTACCCGGACCTCGAGGTGTTGTAGCGTAGCGTAATACGCCCTCTGGTGAGAAATTGACCTCAATATTGCACGAGTTTGTCGTGATATCACCATTGCCATGTAATATGTTCATGTACACTGACATCTGAATATTGTATGGAAGAATCCAACTACTACAGGCGCAAAATACTAAAAGTAAATACATTATACATGCTCACAAAATATAGGGGAAAATAGAAAATTATAGAACACAAATAGAAAATTGTTGAATTCGAACAGAAGATAGAATATTATAGCACAAAATACAAAAGATTATACAGAATACATGGTGAAATATACAAAAAAGATGTGAAATTAAAGGAAAAAATCACAACATTAAAACAAATGAAATACAGAATACAATTTTTAAAAAAGTGCAAAAATATACGTTCAAAATTGTGAAATATATACCACACAAATGGATAATTTTAGAATACAAATGGAAAAGTTTGCAATGTTGGACATACCATATTTTTAATATCCAGTCGACTTTCCGTATTTTTTATTAGACCATGTGACCCAAGTTCTAATATAGAGAACAAGAACGTCGACTGTGATTAATCTTATTCGGAGAACATGCGTACTAACTGGAGAGA